CCTGTTTACAGTATAGTGTCCCTGTCACTATACTGGGGCATTAGGACCCACATGGACCGCAGGGTGAGCACCCCCTGCTGGCCCCACTAGCACCTCTTCCAGCAGCAACCTTCGTTTTTTCCTGAGAGGTCTCCCATCCAGGTACTGACTAGGCTCACCTGCTCACCTGCTTAGCTTCAGTGGGTTGCCAGTTGTGAGTCTCGGAGTGATATGGCTGTAACTTCTGATTTCCTGCAGTGTATCAGGAAGCAAAAACCTGTAATGTTTTTAAGCCTTTTTTTTTTCAATTCTGAATCTACTCCACCACAAAGCAAGAGTTCACACATGTCATTCGAGACGTAGCAAGCTTTTAGCTGCTGAAGTGATGCTCACCTATCCTGGGATGGGGATGGTCTTCTTTTTTAAAAATGAAAAAAACGTGCAAGTACCATGGCACTTTAGTAGATCTCTTCTTGGAAAGTTCACATTTTGAGTATATTTTACAAAATTGTTTTTCTTTTTTCACTGATTCTTTTTGCAGTTTGTCCCAAGCGTACGTTTCTGGCATTAGGTTTTAGTTTAGTAACCAAGTTTTCTCTGCTTTAGAATGTAATTTCAGTTTTTCAGATATAAATACAATTTTTCAAATACAAGGTGTAGAGACTTTGGGGGGGGGAAAGGGGATTTCAGCTGGTGATACAAGGTGGCAACTTGTTTTGAACCACGAAAGCGCTTGCATAACTTATGTTTTCAAGTAGGTACCTGCGTCAGTATGCTTAGGTAGCAAAGGAACAGGAAAAGGTTAAATCCATGCAGAAAAGAGAAGAAAAGAAACACAACATTTCAGCTGAAACGTTGTGTTTCTTTTCTTCCCTTTTCAGCACGGAATAAACCTTTCCCGGTTCCTTTGTAACTTCTTTGTTGTTTTCTTGGTGCGTTGCTCGCGGTGTGTGGCGCTCAGTGTGTCCCCTGTGGTTCCAGAAGGGCTACGAGCTGGTGCGCCGAGGGAGCGAGGAGGAGCTGTCTCTGCTCAGGGCGCTCGACCTGGAGGAGGGGGGAAGCCACACCGAGCACTCGGCCAGCAGAGAGAGCCCGCCGGAGGAGGTGAGACCGGCCGCAGGGTAGTCGGAGGGCAGGGAAGGACGGCTGCTGTGAGCCTCCGCATCTGCAGGGCATGGGCAGACGCAATGAGAGTGTCTTATTCCACCACAGGAACGTGCGTCTGGACCTCAGTCATACACAATTGGAGTCTGAGTTGAAAACATGAAACAGGGAAACAGGATAAGATGTATATCTCTACTGTAGGCAATTTAAAGATGGTAAGAGTAGAAGACACCTATACTGCTAGGTACAGGCAATATTACTCAATTTTATTTTGCATAAAAAACTTATTGTATCGTTTCAGTGCGTTTTGTTTATGACCAGATTTGTTAAACATTTTTAGCTGTTGCTGTACCTAGAAGATTGGAATAGAATGCACTGTACATTGAAGGCTACTGTAGAATTACGGTATTATCAGCTATCCAGAGAAATCATGTTAAAATTTAATCTGTCACAAAAATACAGATTGTCCTTATTAGAGTATGGCATCTGCAATCAGTTTTACAAATTTATGTTATTGGAGGAAGCAGCTAACGGTTTGAAATTCTGTGTTGTAACTCTTTGAACTATTAGTAATGCACTGCTGTTTTGTAGTTTAACTTTGCAGATGTTTTCCTGCATCAGTCAATCCACACCATTGAATACTGTCTGGGATGCATCTCAAACACAGCTTCCTACCTGCGTCTCTGGGCCCTTAGCCTTGCACATGCTCGTAAGTATAGGAAGGAATCCTCTGCAATTAGCATGTTAAACTTTTGCATTTAGATTTCTGTGGTTAAATATTTGACTATCTGAGGAGCCAAACTCCAAAGCCCAGAACATTTCCCTGTCGTACACCTGTGTCGTGCTTGACTTCCTTATACATTTATCAACATTACAAATTACCTTGTGACATAGTCATTTTCAGTCATATCACAGACATAAAGCCGATAAATTCTAAATTTTATATTCGAAAGAGCATAACATGAATTTTACAGAGCCTCCTTTAGAAACCTCTGTGAATTGTAAATGAGCAATATGGGCACGGTACGTCTCTGATGTTCCTGCTCCTACCCGATGTGTCCTGTTAGAGCTGTCGGAAGTCCTCTGGACAATGGTGATGAGAGTGGGGCTCCGTGTAAACACCACGGTGGGGATCGTGTTCCTGGTGCCCGTGTTCGGCCTGTTCGCCGTACTCACCGTCTCCATCCTGCTCGTCATGGAGGGTCTCTCGGCGTTCCTGCACGCACTGCGGCTGCACTGGTCTGTGTTTCCATGAAAGTTACCATTCAGATTGTGCAGTTTCTAAACTTAGTTCAAGGCTAAGTTTCTATAACGACTAAGCCTCCCACAAAACCTGTTGTCCCACTCACCCCTTCTTTTCATTTTCTGTTCTCGGTGCATGACTGTGTTTTCTAAATGGTGTTTAGAACTATGAAGCCCTGTTCTGGTTTAGGATGTTTAAAATGTGCTTCAGAAGCGAAGTACAGTTGATTGTTTTTTTTGAGGGTTTAAAATTAAGTGTATTCATTTTATGACATGAACAGCTTATATATTTGTAAAATAATTATTTTTTACAAAGCTTACGATTTCTTGATTGAATGCAATCCCTTTGCCCAAGGTGAGGAGCTATAGACAGTATTGTAGTGTACGTGACATCATGCCGCCTAGTCTCACTGGAATTGTGCTTCTTTTTTCTGACAGGGTGGAGTTCCAGAACAAGTTCTACACTGGCTCAGGCGTCAAGTTCATCCCTTTCTCCTTCTCACTCATCTCCTCCAGTTTTGAACACGAGGGCTTGCTATGAAAGCCTCAGAGCAAAGAGCTTGCAACGGGGATTGCTTCACATTGAACCTCATAGCTGTACAGTTTGGTTTTCTTTTTTTTGTACTAAAACGGATTGTTGCACTGACTGCCTTACGGAATGCAACCAAATACCAACATATCATGTTTTATTGTAAAACTCCGATTTTAAAACCTTAGATGCTGTGCAGTCTTTCAACATGAGATTTCATTTTCCTCCACTGTTCATTGTGAATATTTCATCAATACTAAACTAAACTGTGGTGGTGAGTGTGTGGGAGGATGGAGAGTATTTGCATAAAGTTGTTTGATCCAGGAGCCATCAGAGATGGAGCTACTTACAGAATGCTCTTTTTAAAACTAGAAAATTAATATATTTTTTGACTCATGAAGGCCAGAAATATACTTTCTATACATTCTAGGAATATATGTGTAATGTGACCTTTGTGTTTCTTACATTTAAGCTCTGCTTTCTGGCATTGACCTTGTGGCTGACAATAGCATAAGGAAGAGCTCTATGTTATAATTGAATGTACATAATGTAATGCTTTAGATATTGAATGTATATGTTGAAAGCTATAAGTTGAAATAGCTACTGTTTGTTGCTCAAGCCACTTTTCAGAAACTTTTGCAGCACTTTGCAGTCTGATGAGAACTGCAAACAAAAAGATTTAGAAACATTTCATACTCTACTAACAGTCTGGAAGCCTTAGAGAGAAGCCTAAAGGGTTCTTCTGATCTGTATGCTTTTATAAACTAGCAGAATTGCTGAGGTCTTGGCAAGAGCAACATTTTTATTAGTGCCACTTATTTATCTCGTTAAGTCAGAGCTATAATTACTACCCTTAAAAAATATGACTACAGTCAGGACCTGGTGTACAACTTAATGTGATGAAATGTCAATCCCTTAAGAATGAACCATTTTCAAGTGAAATGAAGAACTTTATTTTGCATTAATATCTTTTAGTTGTACACGGCTGTTGACAACTAAAGGTTGATTTTAAAGTGTAAGACGTAAACTGCTAATGTGTTCCGATCTAACCTAGTTCCAAGGAAATCTACCTTACAACATTGTAACATCTGACACAGGGAAAACCATATGTGGACAGATTTTAAACAATTCAACCCGTGTAAGGTGGAACAAAACCATTGCTAGGTTGGTCAAGACCATCTAAAATGGATAAACAAAGACAGCCTTCACTTGAAACAAAATATGGATATCGGGATCAGAGGATTTACTGTAAGTAAATGGACACTATTTCTGGATCTAGAGGAGGAGAAACTGTGTGCAACTGAAACTGCAGAGCAGATGATGGAAGCTCAGTCACTTGGGAATTCAAAGATTAACACTGATTAAAACTACTTGAGAATATGCACCTAAAGCACTTCTCCTCATCTATAGTCTCACTTATGTTCTTATTTTGCCAAGATGGCATCAGCACTCTCACTTTTTCTGATGCTGTGCTACTTTTACCCCTTACCATTTTTTTTACTTGTCTTTGCTTCCCCGAGGTGAATGTTGCAAATGCTGAAATTAAAAAGTAGCCACGATGTACCTAGCTAGAATCTAGATGTTGTAGATTTGGTATAAGTGCCTCCAAGAAGAACAAAAATGTTTTTTATTCTAACATTCACGCCCAGTTTGAGAGTTTGTAAGTTTCATATACAGTGTTGTATTGTTTTCCAAAATGCATTACTTGAATCCATTGATTTCCAATCTGCCCACATTTTAAATTTCCAATTTCAAATAAGCTAATAAAGTCTTAATTTCATTTATAAATGCATATGTGTCCCTGTTTTCAGTCTTATTGCTGTTAAAGATGTTATATATTAGGATTATCTTGGGGAAAAAAACAGACATGGATACTTCTTTTGGTTAATTAAAGAAGTTTAGGGGGCTGTATCAGCATGCGTAGGCTGCAAAGGAACCTAAGTTTATTTTGTGCTGAAAGGAAAAGAAAACTATTTGACTGTGGAGCATTTTTCAGATGTGTCACAGTGTGTGTTCCATTGGCTAATTTAGGTTTAGTCTAATACTGATTTCTGAGGGCTAAAGTTGGGTTGTGTGCAAGCTGAGGTAGGGTTAGGATTGGTAATGGAATTGGTTTAGGTTTTCTTTTTGCATTAGGTAAGAGTTGAGAATTTAAATATGGTTAGTAATACAGTCAGTGTTCGTCCTTATCCTTATGCTAAACTTATTAATGTCCCCGTTTCAGACAAATGGTTACCATTATCATAATGTGGGATGAAAACAATTTTTGCAAAGATAATCTATACCTAGAATGTACAGTGAAGGAGAGAGAAATAAAAAAAATGAATTAAAGTTGTAGACTTTACAAATGTAAATCAAGGCGAATGCTACAAATGCGTTTCATCAGACCAAGCGCAGACGAGCTTAACTGAAATTGTACCCTAGCAGTGCGGGTGACACGCGTAAAGAAGGTTTGCTTTCGCGTCTCTGAAACTCAACAGACTGTTTCTTGATCGTGTCATGCCGTCATTATTCTAACATTCAGCCCGTCACTGAGTAAATGTACACAACTCGAAAACGCCGCCATAGGAAGAAGCGGTGATGTTTCCGGAAGTGTTCTTGGTTTGCGCGATGGTTGCTATAGCGACATCAAGCTGTATGGTGCAGTTTCAATACAAATCAGCGTAAAGACGCTTGGCTGGTTACTGTGATGAAACCTTTTATCTAAAGAAAGTTAATTTACGTGCCAACCAAAAATAAAATGACACTTGACGATCTTCGCTTGGAATGGATAAGAAACCGGGTCTGCGCCTCCTTTTACTTCCCAGACGAGGCCTGTTTTGAGGAACTTCTGAACAGAGCGGACGGAGAAGAAGAACAGAAAATAATTAAGTTTTTGAACGAACAAACTTCAGAGGAATCGGCTTCGTCGCTGCTGTTCTTCAAAGCTATCAGAGAAGAAGAGGTGGAGGTGGAAGTACAGATCGGTAACCGTGCATTATTGTTATTTTTTATATATCCCTCTTTGATTGGGGTTGAAAAACAAATGTGTACACGCTTACCATTTTTAAACACGATAAATATGCATACATTATATCAAATTAATATCCGCTCCGACAACCCTTTGCCCTGTCGGGCAGAAACTCGAATTAACGTTTGGGAATTAGATTAAATAATTACATGAAAAAGCCAGGTCTCTTCTGTAACGATCGAAATTTACGACACGCACATATTGTATCCTTATATTTCAATAGTATAACACGTACATTTCATTAACGTGCATTCTATTAAGGCGTCCTTTACTTATGTTTAATTGGATTATCAGATCTTTCACCTTATGTGGCAAGTGCTCTTTTATACAGAAAATCCCTTGTAATACAAGCTATTGATTTTGTGTTATTTATAAAGAGCCAGAAGAGGCTGTGAACAGAGAAGACGCCCCACAGGATGATCACACTGGCCCAGACTCTGCCAGGGCAGCCGGTAATGTTCCTGCTGAAGGTGACAAGGCTTCCAGTAAGTCTCTTGGAGACAGTGACTTTGGGAACATGGTTTGTCAAGAGCAGATTTCACGCACCTGACATCAGATGTTTTCACATTTAGAAAAAACGTGTGTTTTATCTGCTAATTTAAAATGAAACACAATCTGGACCAACCAGAAGGAGGCCAGTAAGGGTAGCAAAGATAAGGTGCAAAACGGAATCAGAATAATCATGGGAATAAAAATAATTAAAGGATTTTGCTTGTCCACCTTGCATAAAGCATGTGGAGGATTCGGTTTCAAATCTTGTCATTGTTCTGTTAAAAAACAGCATTCAGCACCATGGGAGGAAACCAGATTTCTGATCTTGGCCTCTTCCACTCCTCTACACATTCATACCTCACCCTCTGTGTGCGTCTCTCTCGCATCCCTCCCTCCTCTCCCACCTTCTTCCTGGCTCCTTCCTCCCAGCCTGCTGTTCCCTCAGCTCAGTTCACCTTTGTGGTGCCAAATTAGCTCCTCCGCAGTCACTCCGCCTCTACTTCACATCCATTAGGATTTGGTCAAACTACAGAAACGGGAATTTGTGAAATCCCCTCCCTTCTCTTAACACGACAGTCACTTCGGTTGCAGAGAAAGAGCAGAAGAGGAAAGGCAGAGACTCTGTATCCACCTCCGCTTCCCGGATGTCCGACACCCAGATGCCAGAGTCCCCACGGCAACCTGAGGGGTCTCAGGACCCTGCCCCTGGCATTGAGGACGCGCACAGGGAGACGGCAGAGGAGGAGCAGGACAGGCTACCCCTCACTGTAAGCCTTTCACAGTATGAAATCTCAGTCTGAGGGTGACCTATTCCTTGTAAGGAGATGACATGGTTAAGCTCTGTCCTTTACTTTGTATTTACGTCAGTGGCCTTGTTGCAGGTGAACAGGTTTCATCTTAATTAAAACTCATGGGCAAATAACACACCCTGTGTCGGATGGTGACATGGAGACAACAGGCCAGCTTTGACAGTGGATAAAAGTAACATATCTATAAGACTATTCATTTTTTGTTAAGCATTAGTAAAACAGCTGATGTCTGGTTGTATTACTCTAATTATACTTCAGACCTTAGAGGAAATGACACAGAGCTAGTTTTCTGATTAAGTCTTTTTCTCTCCCTATTCCTAATGTGGATGCTGTCTTGTGTGCCAAAGTACTTGCATGTAAACTTCAGATTTAAAGACAATGTTGTCTTAATTTGTTGGACAGGATTTCACAATTTGCCACCTGCAGTGTATTACTTGGTATTTTTTATCTTTTTGTTAAGAAAAATGTTAAAATGTATTTGTTAAATGAAAAGTATGGGTCTTCGTCTTATCATATCATCTCCAGAAAATTGAAATCCAGACAGTATACCACATTGAGTTGCACGTGGCTCTCAATCATGTTCCAGAGAGGTCAATGGAGTCCAATGTTCTCTTTTTTCTCAGGAATACCAAAGGTGGGTATAAAATAAATGATGAGCTTAGAAATATGCCACTGGAATGTACTATGGTAAAGACTCTGGTTTGAAACCCTTTGGTAATTGTTTATTTTGAACTCTGGTATAAATAATGCTAAGTTTTTTTATTTATCTTGATTAAAGACTAGTCTAGTAATACATATTTCTTTGATATATTAATATCAGAGCAAAACATGATCTTATTTAAACTTTATATACATTAAGCAGAATATCCCATCGGAATGTACTGTGGGAGAGATTGTGGTGTGAAAATCTTTGGTATTTGGTTGTTTTAAACTTGGTATAAATAACGATAATTTGTTTTATTTGTGATGGTAAAGGATTAATCTAGTAATGCATCTTTATTTGATATATTAATATCAGATAGTGCAAAACATTTGCTAACTTTAACTATATGAAGTGGAATTATAAGTTTGTCTAGGTGATTCCGCATAATTTTCAGCCTTATGGAACAGTCATAGATAAAACTCATTTCTAAACATATAGCAGCCGCTTGCTCTTGAAATATACAGTATCCCTGAAAAAGACACCTCTTAGGTTTATGGTTTTTTAAGAGAATGTAGACATTATGAAGTATGGGAATGAATATTAATTTGTTCTCATCACTCCATAATACTCAGAAGGGTGAAGCCATCTATAAATACTTCTGGTCTCTCCTTTTGTGTACTGTATATCTGTATATCAAGTCAAAGCAGCATGGAGAACAGTTTTGCTATTATTAGGGCTGTTCTGCATAGCAGAACTTTAATTTCTGCATATATACAGTAGCTCACAGCTCTTGATACTTGATTGTAATAGACTTGACTCTAGATGTTTAATATATGGTTATTGTATTGGTGCTCATTGATAACTATTGCTGTTGTGTTCTTTTCTTCCTGCTAGAAACAATATGTGAGCCTCTTGACATGAAGGAAGCTAATGAGATCATGCCTAAATTACTGGAGATTGGGATGTTGAATGGACACCCGTTATTAATGCTTAAAAATGTATTCAGTCATGTAGGTAGAACCTTTCCTTGCCCTTGGTATCAGTAGAATTAGTTTTCTTGTCTGTTGATTTCTTATTTTTTAAAGACAAAAGTAGAGCAAAACATTATAAGGTTTCTGTCTGATTGTGTTGTGTTTATGTTCTCTCTGAATCTGGATTTAGGTATTTATACCACTGCTTTCTGTCAGTCAGCTGAAAAACAATGATTCAAATTACAAACAAACAGAAAAGTCTGCTGAAGGTGAAGAAGATGGCGTCTTGGAAGCACACAAAGAACAAGAGAGGCCTGTGGAGTTTCGGGGCACACAGCTCATCAGGGACGAGTTACTGAACAGTGCCCACAAATTCCTCGGTCACATTGATAGGACACTGCAGCAGCTGGAAGGTTAGCACTTATCCACAGGAGGCTCCCATGTTTTTAGACCAAGAGCTCAGATTATAAATTCGGATTTAAAAGGCATTTCGCACCATTCTGTTTCTAATCGCCAAAACACTTATCCCAATGAATAGATGCTAGTTTACTACAGTAAGAAGTCATGAGTCCTACCAAGTCATAATAGTGTGTATATTTATTACTAATGTAAATTGTTATGACATTTTTAATGAGGTTCTTATTTTAAAGCACATCGTAGGTACTTGCAAATCTTGTTTTGAACAACGACTGCACTGCCGCTTGTTTTGTAGGTGAGATTAAGTTGCACATTCCCGATGTGGACTTGGATGGTGATGTGGTCCGGCTGGTGTCCAGTCCAGCTGTGGTCGTGCAGCTGGAGCAGTGCGTCATGAACTGGCAAACGCAAATAACCTGCGTTATTGAGGAGCAGCAGAAGAAGAAACCACAGGTAAAAAAAAAAAATGTTGACATGATCATACCACACCTGAGCAGCCTGCATTTTGTATTGAGTAAAAAATCAATTGCTCAGTTACTTGCTTGATCAAAACTACCAAAAATGCAAAATGCCAACTCACTACACTCTCTTTGTGCAAAGCGTATGGGAGCTGTGATTTATAACTTTATAACTTTGCTGCACTTTTTTCAGTCTGGGCTGTATTTATGATATATGCGGGATTTGCCTCCTAGTTGCGAATCCTGTTGGGGACACATGGCTTCCTTCTTAGTTCTGAGTTGATCTCTTCACAGGCTCCTGGTCCCATGGCTGAGATTGATTTTTGGCGGGAGCGCACTGCCATTTTAAGCGCCCTCAGTGAACAGCTGAAGCTGCCAGTGGTAAAGAAGATTTTGGAAGTGATGAGTCGGGCTGATCCTGTGACTACCCAGAACCTGGACCTCACAGTGACTGAGCTCAGCAAGTACCATGTGGAGGCAGTAGAGAATGTGCGCTTTTTGGGCACACTGGAGCGCCACTTTAAGGTGAAATTATCTCAGTCACATGGCCAACGTAAAGGGTGCTTTTAGGGTGTGATGTTGGTAGACACTTGAAAATAAATAGATTTTTTAAAAGCTATTTGTAATTTCTTTTAGTATTTTAGTGAGTTAAGTAAGCAAACCAGTCTCCTTGTCCATATAAATATCTTTATGATTTACAAATATTTCTAGGAACAATATCCATTGTACAAAGTGTGAGGGAGGATGTTTAATTCGGTATTGCCTTAAGATAGGCAGTTAGAGTTCTCTCCTTTGAATTCTTTTTAATTGCTGATGCAGAACCTAGCTACGGGGTCTGGGTTTAACGTGATCCTGGATACCATTCCCCTGATGATGAACGGACTGCGGATGGTGTGGATCATTTCTGGGCACTACAACAAGGATGAGCGGATGGTGCCTCTTATGGAGCGAATAGCATGGGAGCTGTCAGAGAGGGTGGCTAGAGTGGTCAACGTTCGCACTGTATTCAAGTGAGTCGCCCGGGCAGTGTGTTTCTTCAGGCAGCGTGAGTATTGTCAGATGTGTGTTATTAAATAAAAGAGGTGTTTTTTCTTTGCCTCTGTTACAGAGAGAAGAGGGAAATCGCAAAGGCCAAAGCTTTAGATGCCAAGCAGGTTCTTGATCAATGGAAGGCTTCGTACTTTGAGGTCCGCAGCAAGATTGAGGCCTCAGGTAGAGACCCTCGCTGGGAGTTTGACAGGAAGAGACTGTTTGAGAAGACAGATTACATGGCTTCCATTTGCCAGGACCTGTACAAAATCCTACAGGTAAACCCATTGAAAAATGTATATTTTTTAGTACATTTGTCTTTCATTTAAATTCAGTGTTTGTCTCACATGTACACATTGACACGTGAAATAAGAGGGTCAGGGTTTTAGAAATTTTGTAAGAAGACAGTTCGCAGAATCTGGTCAGGCAATGTAGCTGCAATGTGTTATCAGTGTAACTAGTGTTTGCAGTTACCGGTACTTTACTTATACAAAGAATCATAGGATTTACTGAGGTCCTTCATAGTACCTCTCTTGAAGAATCAGTGTTGATTGAGGTCCTCTCACACATAATACAGAAGCAATGAATTATGTTGCAGTCTCAGTGATTTATAAATAACTTATGAACAGGCTTATAATTTGTGCTTTTTATTTTGCCTCTTCATTGATTGTTCATGGTAAAGGTAAAATTGGAAACATCAGTTTAGTTGAATGAAAATAAAACATAATGGACACAAAATATTAATACTTTTGTTTTGTTAAGCAACCAATTAAACTCAATGTTTTTTATTACAGATCCTTGAGGAGTTTTACAACATTTTTGGCCCTGAGCTAAAGGCAGTGACTGGAGATCCTAAGCGGATTGACGATGTGTTGCGCTGGGTGGACAGTCTGGTTATACCCATTGAGGAGCTGAGCTTTGACCCTTTTAATATACGTAAAATGGGATTATGGAAAGTAGTTATGGAGGACTTTAAGACTGAAGTGCAGGTGAGCTCAAGCTGTGGTTTGATTTACTTTAACAGCACATTTGCAGATTCGTACAGCAATATATGCAATTTGATTCTTGGGTGGAATGTATCTTCTTTTGATACTTTTGATAAATGTAAGTGTTATGGGTTGTTCTTGTTCCCTTTTTAGAATTATGTGACCTTTTGTAGCAGCATATCTTTTCTTTCACAAACCTAATTCATTGAAATGCTTTATAGGCTATAGAAGGAGAAGCCATCAACTTCATTGACCAGTCTTTCAAAACCCTCCGTTCTGCGGAGGCTGCCTTTGACATGCTTTTAAAGTTTAAGCACATCCGTTCAAGAGAAGCAATAAATAACCAGATGATGAAGAAGTTCAATGACATTCTGGCACAGTATTGTAAAGAGGTGGGAAAGTCTTCTAATTTATTACCATTGTCTCTGAACATCACAGTGAAGAATGGTTTATGTGTCATATATATAGTATTTTTAGTATAGTATTATATGTAATAATTTTAACTTAACATTTCTCACTTCAGCATCTGGTCACTTTTAGGATTGTTAATTAGTGTCTTACAGATACAGAGACAGAAACTTTGTCTAATTTTGGTTCTCACGGTTTCTTTGTTTTTGACAGGTTGACAATATTAACACCTTGTTTATCAACAACCTTGACAATCCTCCTCTCAACAAGAATCAGCCCCCAGTTGCTGGAGCAATATACTGGGAGCGCTGTCTGTTTCATCGGATGAAGCACACCATCATCCGCTTCCTCGAGGTGGAGGAGATGCTGGAAAGTGACCAGGGAAAAATGGTAAGTTCAGTTTGAATGCTATTCCCCTCTTCCGTGACACATTCAATATTAATTTTTCACTGTGTGTTAGAAATGTACTAGGGTAGAATTCCTGTTATTTAAATGAAAAGTGGCTTCAGGAAATTGCTTGAGGATACTCAGGTGTATACCCTTCTTCAGATTCAGTACAGAGCTGGCACACATACCATAGAGGAAAAAAGGAATTTGTTTAAATACTTTAGAATCTGAATCAACTGTAATACACTCTTGCTTTTTTTTTGCAGGCTAAAGCAAAGTACCTGGAAGTAGGTAAAAGAATGAAGGAGTATGAGGAAAAGAAATATGAGCGCTGGAGAGAGGAAACTGAGCAAGCACTGCCAATCCTGCTTAAGAGGAATCTCTTACAAATACACACTGGAAGAGGAGCCATTCCTGCTTCTGATCAGGATACTGCAGAACTGGTGAGATATAGCTCCCTGTATTAGGACCCCAAAAGACATTTAGCATTTTCCCTTTGGTTGCAGCTGATGTTAGCAATCATATTTTAAGCAATCCTGACTTCACTGTAGAAAGTGGAGCGCGTCTCCTGAGGTCTTTTCCTTCATTCCAACATTGTGTCGGTTCAAGGCTTTACTCTCTGGGGAGCTGAAGACGGAGGAGCCTGTGCGGTACTCTGTCAACTTCGCTCAGGAGCTGACAGAGATCACCTCTGAAACCAAGTACCTGGAGCAACTGGGTTTCTCCGTGCCTGAGCTGGCCAGGAACGTGGCTTTGCAGGAGGACAAGTTTCTCAGGTGCCTAATCTGAATAAAAGTAATAATAATCCTCTAATTGTTAGTAACAGTTAAACAGGCAGCCTGCTGAATGGTAATTACTATGATGTTATGTTATGTGTCATTTACAGTATAAAATTTGAAATGCTTTACATCATATCTACAGTATTTTGTAACAGTTTTCTGTGCAAAATTAAGGTAAATTTAGGTTAATTTAATGAATGTTGATTCTGTGTTTTTGAAAAAAATGGTTTCTGGATTTTTAAAAGAGATTCAAATCATCGAATGTAAAAATTGTAAAAAAAATTTCGGCATCAGATTGACAAAGCAAACACTTCACTGAACGACTAACAGACTGCACTCCACATTTGTCAAGAAGGGTGAGGAATCAGAAATAAAGCTTTGAATTGAATGTTTTATAGGTATATTGGTGGGCTAAAGAATATGGTTAATCGCTACCATATACTGATGGACAGTCTGAATGAAGCTGAGACTAATTTGCTAGATGAACAGATTCATGAGCTCCAGAGAGTTCTTAGATCTGGGTACAAAAGACTCAACTGGAACTCATTAGGTAAGGAGCTACAGTATATCAGTTAACTTTAATTCAAATAATTAAAGATGGCTTCTGTTTTTTTTTATTCTGTGACAAGTAGTTTGATGTAATTATTATACATTTTTCCTAGTAGAAATATAATCGCACTCTTTACAGATTTTTATTTTCAAATCGAGCTAACTCACCAATTAAAATAGAATCACAGATGCTTTTTGTGTTTCCTTTTTTTGTAAAATTGAACTATGACAGACATGTGATCAGAAACTGAATCATTCATTTGCTTTCTAATTCAATGTATTTGCTGTCAATCAGGCATTTTAGACTTTATTAATCGCAGCACCCAAGCCATTTCCAAGTTTGAGTCACTTGTGAACCAAATTCAGAAGAACGCACGGGACATTGATGCCAAACTACAATCAATTGAATCGGCAAACCTATTCAAGTTCCCAAGTCCTTCAAGAGAAGGTGATCTGCCAGGTATGTTCAGCAGCTTTGTGCTGTAGTCGTGGCATAAGACATTGTGTTGCTTATCACAGTTTTAACATTCATATTCTGAAGTATAAAAATGTAGTTCATTAAACTACATTGTAAAGTGTTCTTTGATAATTATTTACAGGATAGGTATTTTTTTCAATCATCATTTCTCTTATTGCTGTCTTTCAGGAGTGAAGGAGTTTTTCGAGTTTATTGAGCGGGAGAGGATGAAAGATGTAAACCTCTTGTCCCGAAAATACACTGCTATAGGTCCTCTGTTAACCAAGATGGAGGGCTTGATAATGCACACGAACACCGGCCAAGACAAACGCATGGCGCAGTACTATGCCTACTGGGAACGCAAAGTGTATGATACCCTAACAAAGATGGTCTTGAGGTGGGCTTCCTGTTCTGGCTCCAATTCTGCCTTGCAAACTGTGGTTCCCGAATAGGCTTCCCAACCCTTAACCAGGAATGCAATAGATGGCTGGGCTGCTTTTGTTAATTTAGAAAATTTACAACTGTTTTCCCCCAAACCTAATTGGAAACATTTTCATTAACTGCATATACATATTCCCTTTATTGCAACAGGTTGTTTTTTGCTACTTTTGTTGGTTCAGTGACTTTGAATATAGAGGCTATAGTTATGCTTGAAATAAATTTCATAAATAAATTACAAATTGTACTACAATTTCCTATGAATATTGTTTTATTTATTGGAGACACTGACATTTTTCAGGCGTGCTAATGTCCTATCCACCTGTGTTCAAAACACTTATTTACAGAAATGGTAACTTTAAGTCTATTCATTTTATGTTCCTATCTTTATAAAACAGAAACCTCCAAACATTTGGTAATGCCTTGGTGGAGAAAGTGCCACTGTTTCAAATTGAAACCATCTTGTCTGCCCCCGAGATTGTATTGCACCCCAATGGCAATGAAATTTACAAACTGACAATGCAGTGTGTGAGAGACTGCTTGGATAGCACAAAGGTTGGTATGTTTGTTTGTTGGGGAGCAAGTTCAAGTTTAATCTAGCACATTACAATGCTCACTGTTATTGCTCAAGATAAATGTTTTCTCCTACAGTACATAATGTTAGGACAATGTGCACTGGAAGGGGAAAAAAAATAACATTTTTATTGTTATTTCAATAAATATTGTTTTAATTCTGGAATCCTTAAAATCAAGTGCCTTATTATGGACATGCTTAAGTTTGGACCTGACATGAACTCCTGTACTGTAACACATGGCTGTATCAATATCCAAAGATTTTTTTATCATTTTCCTTGGAGCCTGTTAAGAGAAGCGTTCCTTTTGCTCAGGTTTACTTTTGGTCTGCTGTTTTGCAGCGGTTTGTGCGCTGGATGCATGGCACCTGCATCGAGTGCCCTCCCCAGCGCACGGAACGCGAAGACGAGCCGGTTGTGTTCAGCTTCCACAGCGACGTCTCCCAGAACCCCCAGGTTATTGAGAAGGCCGTGTCCATCTCCCAGAGCATCCACAGGCTGCTCATGTCCATCACCCGCTACCTGAACCGCTGGAAGAGATACAGGCCCCTGTGGAAGCTGGACAAAGCCATCGTCATGGAGAAGTTTGCAGCCAAGAAGCCCTCCTGTGTGGCCTATGATGAAAAGCTGCATTTCTATGCCAGGATCAGTCAGGAGGTGGCACAGCAGCCCTTGGTGAAATTAGAGCAGTGCATCCGACTGAATCTAGAACCCCTAGCTCGGACAGTGGAGGAGAATGCCCAGGCTTGGGTGAACTCTCTGGGTAAACTACTCAATGAGTCGGCCAGAGAAGACCTGTTTAACCTAAGAGACGAACTGCAGGTATACTTTTGTAGAACGTACCTTTAAAGTACTGTGCAGTACACGGTATAGTACTGTTGAATTGTGTTGTAGTTTTGAGATTTAGACCAACGGTGATAAGTCTTGCGTCTAAGGGATTCACATTTCTGGAAGCCTGTGTATTCTAGTTGTAGTTCGTCTGAAGACTGACAGCAGCCAAAAAGAAAAAGTAGTTAGATTCTAGAATTTTATTGATTGAATTTGACATTACGCAGTAAAACCATTTAGATTGGGGAAAAAAACAGTGTGGACAAATTAAATGACACTAATTTGCTAGCCAGTCATGCTTTTAAAATTTCCTCATAAGCTTCACTGACTTTTTTTTCTAGTAAAATATCCACATATTTTCCATATCCAGATTATAATGTATAGAACTTTCTTTGCAGAGATATATTATTTAAATGTTTGTGTGTATTTTACAGCAACTATCAGATAACCTCAAGAAAAACCCAGAAACGCTTGAGGATTTAAAGTTCGTTTTGGGGACCATAGCAGACATCAGAGACATGTCCTTAGTTGTGGAAATGAGGTTTACTGACATTCAAGAAAGATACAGAACTCTTGGCATGTACGGAGTGCAGGTACGTTTTTATGTTTTTTAATATTGTAATTATTGCATTTTACATTTTTTTGTGTTTTTCTTTTTAAAACAATTGGTACTTCAGGAGGACTGGAGTTCAAAGTTAAAGAAAATGGCTTAATATTTAATCATAGCTAAAAAAAAAAGATTCTTATTTATTTATTTATCTTTTGTATTTTGAGGTAACTGAAGAGGAATTAGAACTGTCCAGAAACATCAGACAGATATGGCATGACCTCTTTGTGGAGTCGCGACAGGTTGATCACAGTTTAGGCCGAGTGAAGAAGACTTTCACTCAGGTAACGGTTTCAAAGTCTGTCTTTCAAAGTGGACATTCTATCAAGGGCTTAAATGGCTGCAAATAACATTGTTTAAATGTTGTTTTGTTGTAGATCACAAAGGAGCAAACCGAGGAATTTAAGAAGGAGTTATTGGTTTTTGCAGATAACTTTAGCATTGAAGGCCCAGGTGCAGTGGGGGACAACTTGGACAAAGGTTAGACACCCTAAACTAGGAAGCTTTATGAGTGACTACAAACTAGAACACATGTAAAAGAGATTTTCTGTACTGCAGAGTAGGATGCTGCTGTAAACTTGCTTAGGACCTGGTGGATTCAATTTGTATTATTATGTAATGGAAAGCTTTTGATGGGCCTTGCTACTTTGTTTAAGATCATTTATTATACTTGTGGATGCCGATGTAAGAATTTCATTTTTTGGTGTAGAGGACTGATATTTGTTCTCTTCACCAGGAATGGAAGTGCTCATATCATACGAAAAAGAACTGGCTCGGTTTGAAAAGGACCGGCAGGAGCTGGCAAACGCAGAGAAGCTCTTCGATCTGCCCATCACTATGTACCCAGAGCTGCTCAATGTGCAGAAAGAGATGAAGGGCTTGAGACAAATCTATGACATTTATAAAGCTCAGAAAGTGATTATCAAAGCTTTTTCTATATGCTCTGTATATACTACCCCAAATATACTTGCTTTAGAATAAAAAAATATTTTATATAAAATAAATGCTTAAAATAGAAAAAAAAGCTTTATTAGTATTTAATTAGACTTAGAAGGAATGCACTTGCTGAAACATTATTGTAGCTGAATGATGATTTGTCAGGAAAAGAAATTGTAATTTGTGTCCAAGCTTAGCTTCAAGATCTCCTTACTTCTGCTTCAACTTCCTACTTCTTTGTTTCTTTCATAGGCTGCCAAGGCAGAGTGGTCTCAGACCCTGTGGGTGAATCTAAACATCCAGCTGCTCCAGGAGGGGATCGAGGGCTTCATCAAGAGCCTCAGGAAGCTGCCCAAGGATGTGCGCAGCCTGCCTGTCGCCTTCTTCCTTGATGCCAAAATGAAAGAGTTCAAAGACTCCATCCCATTGCTGCTGGACTTGAAAAATGAGGCTCTGAGAGAAAGGTGGAGTTTTTGTGGGTTTGATTTTCCGCCATTTTCTAGGAAAATCTGACTGAAAGGAAAAATTAAGTGTTTAGCATGCCTTATGCATCACGCAGGGATTGATACTGGTAGCCATGCAGGAATCAGATATTTAAGCCACAGGCACAGAAGTGCTTTAGGAAGATGGGACATTTTCCCTCTTTAAGGAGTCTTTTGCATGTGCCTGGGCTTTGTTTATGAAATGTTCTTCATTGTTATGATTGGGTTATCTTTTGATCAGTACGAGTTAATAATATTGTTTGTTATGACTCAGACACTGGAAGGAGCTGATGGAGAGAACGGGTACCAGCTTTGAGATGAATCCTGACACCTTCACTCTGGAAAACATGTTTGCCATGGAGCTTCACAAGTATGCTGATGTCATCAGTGAGATTGTGACTTCTGCGGTGAAGGAGCTCAGCATTGAGAAAGTGAGAATCGGAATTAGGAATTGTAACACTGGCGCAAAAATTATTTATTTTTGGTCATTTCTGTTCGGTTCTGATGTTATGAAAGTGAACCACTGAATGGTAAAGGATAGTTCTGCCTGTTCTGTGTAACCAGGGTGTGAAGGATGTGGTGGATACCTGGGAGAACATGAAGTTCACCGTTCAGAGGTATTACAAGGGCACACAGGAGAGGGGCTCCATCCTGGGCTCAGTGGATGAAATCTTGCAGAACCTGGATGACAATGCCATGAACCTGCAGAGCATGGCTGGGAGCCGCTTCGTGGGCCCCTTCCTGTCTACTGTTCAGCAGTGGGAGAAGAGCTTGTCCTTAATCAGCGAGGTTATTGAGGTGAGCTCTTCACGCCCTGAACACAGCACTCTGGCGCTCTTAAGCACTCCCTTGCCTTTGGAGAACTGATCACAGTAAATGTTTGCTCAGCCCTGGTGATATGGAAACTTTGTCTTCCACCTCAAACTGCTGCAAGCAGCTGAGATCCATTTTTCTCAGGTTGGCGGGCTGGAAATTACAAAGACATTTATTCTCGCATATTTTTCTTGACAAAGGATCGGTAGGTGGCTGCAGCTAGTCTCTTATGACTACTGTACTTCTCTGTCTCAGAGTTAATAGATTAGGTGGGATCCAAATTTTAAAGAATTAGCTGCACCCTGTGCAAAAGTGAAAAATCATGTTATTTGGAATTCACATACCAACCTGAACATATTTCCTATGAAATATTTTTTAATACCCTTTGATGGACTGGTGCCCTGTCCAGTGTGTACCCTGCCTTGCGCTCATTGCTTGCTGGTAGGCTCCCACGACACAGTATTGTATAAAGCAGTTCGGTAAATGACATGACATAACATGACATATTTAAAAAAAATGATATTCAATCTTCAGCTCAACATTCAACATTTACAATCCCCATAATACAATAAAGGAGCAACAAACATCTTGAAAGAGGTTTATCCTTGCTTGCGTTAATATTCCTGTTTCCAGGTGTGGATGCTGGTGCAGCGAAAGTGGATGTACCTGGAAAGTATATTCATAGGCGGGGATATCAGGTCTCAGCTGCCAGAAGAGGCCAAAAAATTTGACAACATTGACAAAATATTTAAAAAGGTATGTTTGTTTCAAAAAGCCTTCCAATTCCATTGATTTTTTTAATTACTTTTATAGAAGTGCATTGAAAATTGGGAACAGGCAGCTCTTCTTTATGCAAATTGTTGTGGGAGTATGGAAGAAGATACCTTGGTTTCCTGAGAAACAGAAAACAGCTGGATGAGACTGTTGGAACAATGTGTCATTAACTATCAAATAGACTGAATAGGCCAAATGGCTTTTTTCTCTTTAGTAACTTTTTTTGATACTTTTCTTTAAACCTATAAAGAATCAGTGGAGGTTGAAGAAATACTGAGAATTTTGTTTTTGTCTGACAAGCTCTGAAAAGTCCTGAATCAATACCAAGCGGTGGCCGGGCTGTGTGAGAGAAGAGGCTGTGAAACTGAGGGTGTCTGTGTTTGTGCAGATCATGACGGACACAGTGAAGGACCCTGTAATTAAAAGGTGCTGCCATGTTCCGAACCGCCTGTCAGACCTGCAGAACCTCAGCGATGGTCTGGAAAGGTGTCAGAAGAGCCTGAACGACTACCTGGACTCCAAGCGCAACGCCTTCCCCAGGTTCTTCTTCATTTCTGACGACGAGCTGCTGAGCATTCTAGGCAGCAGCGACCCCTCCTGTGTCCAGGAGCACATGATCAAAGTAAGCAGGTGCAGAGGGAGACTCTGTTTCAGAGTGTCAAAGGGAATTGTCATCTTTCCATTATTATGTGCAATGATGTGTGCCATTGGGAGATTTATATCTGAAGAATAAAGCCTGTATTTGAATATGTGTGTTATTTAGATCCATGTTAAAATTATGAGTATAATAAAAATGTAAGCTCTTCAAAATTTGCTTCAAGTATGTTTCCCAGCTGGAATGGAAAATAGAAAAGTCTCCACATTGTGCATTAACATTCTATATCTTGTAAATATTTGTAAAAAAAAAAGTTTTTTATTGAGAAGTAGCAGCTTCGTATGCATTGTTTCTGTCTCTATCCAGATGTTTCCGGATGAAAAGAATGAGAGACAATCTCTTTTCGGTTATTTTTTAGGGAGACTCAACACTACTTTTTAGGGTGATGGGTATATAAGCATGGTAGGTCTCTTTAAGTGGGTTTGATGTTTGAAACAATCTGCCAAATGTTGCTGTTGAAGTGGAGTTTTATGAAGATGCCTGGATGAGATAAGTGAGTTACTAAACAACTAGCCAGGTACGACTCCTCAAAGAGCCTTCTCTTGTTTGTAACCAACATACGTCCTAATCCTACCAGATGTACGACAACATCGCCTCTTTGAAGTTTGAGGAGGGCAACAACGGTGAGACGCTGGCGGTGGCGATGGTGTCAGCGGAAGGGGAGGTGATGACCCTGAGGCAGGCCATCCCAGCTGAGGGCCGCGTGGAGGAGTGGATGACTGCAGTCCTGCAGGAGATGAGGAGGACCAACAGGCTCATCACCAAAGAAGCCATCTTCAGATACTGTGAGGACCGCAACAGGTGGGAACCAGTTGACACACAGCTAAAACAAAGGGTAAAAACTGAACTATAGTGGCCGATAGAAATCTGTTGCAATACTAAGGGGTTTTCACGTTTTATTCATTTTAATTTTTGGTTTTTGAAATAGTGCTATGCTACAAGACCCATTTTCAGGTACATATTAGGCAAAAGAGCTGTAGTGTCTAATTTACATGTCCATATCGCCTTTTGACTGGGTAACTTAAAAAGTAAAGTTTAATACTGATTTTCATTTTAATGTACAGTGCTTATTTTGCAATCGTTTACATGAGTTATATTATCCCTTTGCTTTTATTATGGCGAAAAACCCTTCACAAGTAATCATTGTGGAATGTGGTTGCATGTGCATTGTGAATGTGAGTATGTTTGACTGTTGTGTGCTTCAGGGTGGACTGGATGCTGCTGTACCAGGGTATGGTGGTGCTGGCTGGCAATCAGGTGTGGTGGACGTGGGAGGTGGAAGACGTCTTTCACAAAGTGAAGAAAGGGGAGAAGCAGGCACTAAAGAACTACGCCAAGAAAATGCACCAGCAGATCGATGACCTGGTCACTCGGATCACACAGCCGCTGAAGAAGAATGATCGCAAAAAATACAACACTGTCCTGATCATCGATGTCCATGCCAGGGACATTGTAGATAACTTTGTTAGGGACAGGTAGGATTTGAGTCTTGTTTTTGAAACAAGAATATTACATGCCATTACCATCATTCTAAAAAAAATCTTCAGTTTTGAAATCACATGAAATCATGTCTGGTAAATGAATCTTGAAATGGATGGTTTAAAAAATTGTATTCGAAGACTTTAATTTCCATAAACAAGCTGGCCTTTTGTGGTCCCTGTAAAATTATAATAACATTGAAATTTACATCTGGAATATAGTAATGATTGTGTTGTGAGAAACTGCGTGATCCTGTGAGTCGGCTCATTGCTGCTTGTTTGGAATGTTTCCAGTATCATGGATGCCCGGGAATTCGAGTGGGAGAGCCAGCTGCGGTTTTACTGGGATCGCGAACCGGATGATCTCTTTGTTCGTCAGTGCAGTGCTAGTTTCTCCTATGGCTATGAATACATGGGATTGAACGGTCGTCTGGTCATCACTCCCCTAACTGACCGGATCTATCTGACACTCACACAGGTATTTCACAGATTTGTAAGGGAAACGCTTTGTAGTTCTCCCATGTTTTTGCCAAGTCAGTTTGTGAATGGGCTTCATGCTCCTGTCTGTTTCAGGGTGCTTTACTCTAGCACTTTTCATCCCGTCTTGTTCAGGATGTGCTGAGTCCACAAAGCTACTGATCAGGTGCACTATTTTGTAGCTGTATTACTGTTGTCAGCATTCAGTACGTTTAGTCTGTCCTTTCTGAACCAGGCTCTCTCAATGTACCTGGGAGGAGCACCTGCAGGGCCTGCTGGCACTGGGAAAACTGAGTCCACGAAAGACTTGGCCAAGGCCCTGGGCCTGCTGTGTGTGGTCACCAACTGTGGGGAAGGCATGGATTACAAAGTAGGTACATGAGGAGACTTTCATCTGGACTTCATAAGGATTTTACTTTCATAGGTCACATCAGTAGCTTCTGTGATACAAGAGCACAAAGTGCATGTAATAATAAATTTAATGAATTAGGTAATAACATTTAATTGAAAGGGTTAAAAATTGTGCTTTTATGAACAAAAATTTAAAAAATGAATTTGAAGTATTTCTCTCAATGCCTTTTCATTCTTGTTCCTCATAAGAGGAATCACAGAATTAGGTCCAGTGTTCAACCATAGGTGGTAAATAACATTATTACAATGCATTAATACGAAACGTTAATATAAAATAAGGTGAAGGAGAAATTGTATCTTAAAATAAAAATCGTTAGCTCAGATGTCACTGTGATAAACTGTGTTTTTCTTAATTCCTCTCTGCTCTACCTTTGTGTTTAAGGCTGTTGGCAAGATTTTCTCTGGATTGGCTCAGTGTGGAGCCTGGGGCTGCTTTGATGAGTTCAACAGGATTGACGCCTCTGTGCTTTCAGTGATCTCTTCTCAGATCCAGACCATTAGAAATGCACTTATTCTGCATCTGAAGAGGTTCCATGTAAGCAAATAACTTCCTTCCGTCTGGAAAGTAAATCTCCATTTAGGTCAGTGGTTCTTAACCTGGGGTTCACACACCATTTGGGGGTGTGAGACACGCCAGATTTTTTAGAAGGTAGATCATCGAAAACGCAGTTTAAGCACAGGAACTACTTTGTTTCTTAAGACTTAAGTATTTTAAGGTAAATTTTAAAATTGTGTATTTTTTTGTATTTTTAATTCTGCTGCAAAGTTAAAATAAGTATATACTTCTATATCTTTCATGTTATAGTTATGATATATTTTAGTCTTAGAGAACTGACCTGCTTCAGTGATTTTTGATCAAGGATATGAGAATACATTCTGAGAACGAAAGGGGTGCAGGCTGTAGGAAAGGTTAGAAACCACTGATTTAAGCAATTATGTTAATTGACACACTCATTAAATATTTTTTAATTCTGATGTTGATTTTTTTCAGTAAATATTAATGCATTTAGTTTCCAATCCCTTCAGTTTTTGTATGGAAACGTTGATGCAATAACTTTTACATACACTATCAATGAATTGCAGCTTTGCAAATAATAATAGAGAATTGTGTTTAGTGCAGTTTTTATTGTGATGCTATGTGCTGTGTGCAGTTTGAAGGGCAAGAAATTGGTTTGGATGACCGGATGGGAATCTTTATCACCATGAACCCTGGATATGCTGGCCGGACTGAACTGCCTGAATCCGTGAAGGCCCTGTTTCGCCCAGTGGTTGTCATTGTGCCCGACTTGCAGCAAATCTGTGAAATCATGCTCTTTTCTGAAGGCTTCCTAATGGCCAAGGTGAAGAAAACAATAATTTTCTTAGCCAAGTAACAAGAGAGATGCATATAAATCTAGTTTAAAAACTGCTTAATGCAGCTTAATGGTGAAGTCTCCATGTAAGAAATAATGCACCACATAGGCAGTCATAAGTTACCCAAAGAACATAAAACCGCATGTTTTTCAAAATGAAGTTGTAATTAATTGTATTGTTGACATTTCAATCCAATATATCCTTCTATCTGTGATCTAGATCTTGGCTAAAAAGATGACAGTGTTATACAAACTTGCCAGAGAGCAGCTTTCTAAACAGCATCACTATGACTTTGGCCTTCGTGCCCTGAAATCGGTGCTGGTGATGGCAGGGGAGCTGAAGAGAGGATCTCCAGATCTGAATGAGGTACAGTATGTTAAAACCAGCAATTGCCCTGTGACTTCAACACCTTCCACAATACATACAGTAGCTACAAAAAGTCACACACCTGTCGGATCACTGCTTTTGCTATGAAGGCATCCCTGTATAGAAAGCAAACACTAGTACATTTCCTATGTCTTTGCCAAAGGATCATCTATGAGCTTCATTTCTGGATTGTTTTTTTTAAAAGTGAAGAACACAGGTGTTATAAAATATATGAAAAGCAAGTAGTATGGGAACCGTCAAACCCAGGTGTTGGGGAGTCATACCGATTGATGTTTTTATAGGCAGGTCTTGGGAAAACCAGACACATGCGGCCATTAAGGTACAAAGCGCATGATTGTTATTTGCAGTGCAGAAACACATAATAACCACAACAAAAGCCTAGCTTTTCTTCAAGCTCCTAATTAGACTCTGGTTTCCTCTCTGACAATATTTAAGCAGCTAAGGTTCTTACCAAGCTTTCAAACTCACATTGCATAAACTGTACTTGTACTGTACTTGTGGCTTCACACAGGATCCATCCACATCACACAGAATGCCAGCTCCTCACAGGGCCTTCTGTTATCTCTTGCACTTTTCCCACATGAGGATCTCACTTCCTCCTTCCTTTCCTTTGGAAGCATCACTTGACTAGTTGTCCAGGACTGGTCAGGTAACGGAGGGCTATGGCTGAGGACTTTCATCTTGCCTGAACATGGCATCCTCGCAACATCTTATGGTGGACAAGATGAAATAAAAATGTCGTGTGTTTTGTAGGACGTGGTGTTAATGAGAGCTTTGAGGGACATGAACCTGCCCAAGTTTGTTTTTGAGGATGTGCCCTTGTTCCTGGGGCTCATCTCAGACCTGTTCCCTGGACTTGACTGCCCACGTGTGCGCTACCCCAGCTTTAATGATGCCGTGGAACAAACCATCCAGGAAAATAAGTATGTCATGCTTCCCAACCAGGTAAGGGATTTCAGTCCTCTCCTGCCACTACAGTGATTGCTGTTTAATCCCTTAATGGATGTTGTGTTATATACTGTATTTTCATAAAGATACAGCCTTGTCATTCCTCTGATACAAAAAACATGCTGTTAACATAGCCATACAGTGGAGACAGAAGTGCAGTGCTAGACAACAAGTTCTGTAACAGGAAAGGGAAAGACCGCAGTACAAGAAGAAAGTCTGAAGATTTGAATGTGTGGGAAAGGTTACAATTTTAGTTAGAAACCATGTCTTGTAAAATCCAAAGACATTTCAGATAGTTCATGAAAGCTGTTTTATTTTGTCCTTCAGGTGGATAAAGTGGTCCAGATGTATGAGACGATGATGACCCGTCACACCACCATGGTGGTTGGGCCAACGGGAGGTGGCAAGTCAGTAGTCATCAACACCCTGTGCCAATCCCAGACCAGGTGAGTGAGGAGAAATTGTCTCCTCAAACTATTTGGGACTGAATATAATGTACAGACACTACTTAAAACAATTTTTACTGACACCAGAAAAATTATTTTAAAAAGCTAGATGTGTTAATTTAATTAGTGTTTAAGTTATGTATTATGCTTTTTTTTTCTTTCAGTTTTAGAGTGAGTGTATGGACTTGTATTGTTATTCTATACGCTGTATTACAAAGGTGATGTTTTACAGGCTGGGGTTAGTGACTAAGCTGTATGCATTGAACCCCAAAGCAATGAGTGTAATTGAGCTGTATGGCATTCTGGACCCCATCACCCGGGACTGGACTGATGGCATCCTGTCCAACATATTCAGAGACATCAATAAACCCACAGATAAAAAAGAGAGAAGGTAAAAATGAGTCTACTGAATGTCTCTTTATCACATATAAGCATCACAGATTATTTTTGTTCATGACAAGCCTTTGAACATCAAAGGTATGAGTGACATTAATTCCAGTTGAAAACAGAAATTCACTGAAAAATAATGGGAGGCAGACCAAGGATTTTCTGTCAACCTGAAATCTTTAAGGATTTCCTTCTATAGTAGAAACTGTTAGTGGCATGGCTTTAGTTTTTTTTGTTTAATTCTGTTTGTGACTTGTTTCAGTTGTCTTGATGTGAACAGATTACTGATATACATTTTTATAATTGCTGTTTTTGTTGGTGCTGAGACGTGATATCGATTGTCCTGCAGGTATATCTTGTTTGACGGAGATGTTGATGCTCTGTGGGTTGAAAATATGAACTCGGTGATGGATGACAACAAGCTGCTGACCCTGGCTAATGGTGAACGTATCCGACTCCAAGCACACTGTGCCTTACTCTTTGAGGTAACACTCAGCTTAACTTTTCAGTGTTGCCCAGTATGATCATTCTACCCCATTCACACCTACCTTATTTTATCCCTTTCCCATGGCACAAGAATTAGCAAACCCGTAGTAATGTTCACTTTAGAAATTACTAGACTGTATGCCTACTAATTGTGTTTTACAGTGGTGGTTTCATGTGTTCTTTTTCTTCCTTAGGTTGGAGATTTGCAATATGCTTCTCCTGCCACTGTGTCCCGCTGTGGAATGGTATTTGTGGATCCCAAAAACCTACGCTTCACACCCTACTGGCAAAAGTGGGTCAACAGCAGGCCGGCAAAGGTAGGAGAGTGCTTTCAAATTCATCTGTTCAATTAACGATCTTCTTTTGTAATGCTTTTTTGAAATATGCAGTGATGTACTTTGGACTCTAGATTTGAGAATATTGCATAGTAATAATGAGCTCACAAATATATAAAAAGGCACTAATTTGTAAAGAGCCATGTATCTTTAAGTGTTTAAGTTTATCACATGAGCTTATTTAAGTGTGAAAACAGTTCTTAGCAGATGTGATCTTCAGGACCTGTTTTACCTGATGAACTGTTACATCATCTTTTACACCATGACAGGAACAAGCAGAACTAAATAAACTGTTTGAAAAGTACGTTCCTGACACCATTGCGATGATAGTGGAAGGAATTGTTGATGGCAAACAGGGGGAAAAACTAAAGACTATTGTTCCGCAAACAGACTTAAACATGGTAAGTTGTAAGAATGTGAAAAAAATATATAATTACACATTTCAGATTGAAATGTGGAAAAGGTTGCTTTCTAGGACATTTCCACTTCAGGGCACATTGCACCTCTTAAATAGCCAGAGGTATCTGTTTTTAAATGTTTTAAACCTATGTGCCGTGTGTAGTTTCTCTTGGTCTTATGGTATGGTCTGATGTGACAGGTGGTCCAGCTCAGTATGATGCTGGATGCTCTACTAGAAAAAGAAGTGGAGGAGGCAGACGAACTGGAGTGCTATTTCCTGGAGGCCCTGTACTGTTCCCTGGGAGGTGCCTTATTGGAATCAGGGAAGACTAAGTTTGATCAGTACATTAAAAGACTGGCTTCCATGTCCACGGTTCATGATGAAAAAACACTAGCTGGACCAGGAGAACTGCCAGGTAATCTAACCATTTTCAGTCGCGGAATTACCATCTCATTGTTGTAAAGCTCCATCAATCTTTTTGCAGACCAGAACCCATGAATTAATGCCATTTAAAACAGATAAGTAGGTGATGTTGTAAAAACCATCTTCTTTTATTACCCTGTTTCTTTGCAGGTCACCTCCCAACCCTGTATGACTTTCATTTTGATGGGGAGCAAAAGAAATGGCTGCCCTGGAGCTCTCTGGTTCCTAAATATATTCACAACCCTGACATCAAGTTTATTGACATCCTTGGTGAGTTTCTCTATGGTTTTTGCATATTATAGCAGTGCTGTTTTTACTCTTCTTTGAAACAATATTTATACAGTTTATTGTACAGGCTGCTCCACATTATCATATCTTTTCTGTTGCTTGTTTCAGTGCCTACAGTGGATACAACACGCATCAGCTGGCTGGTGGAGCAGATGGTGAAGATCAAGCGCCCTGTTGTGCTGGTGGGAGAGTCTGGTACCTCCAAGACTGCCACGACTCAGAACTTCCTCAAAAATCTCAATACAGACACAACAGTAGGTCCAAAAAATTTTGCAATAAAAAAGATTGTGCTTAAACATAGTACAAGGATAAAAGTTTGATGGAGGATCTGATGAAATTCACGTGCAGGCATGCAGCCAAGGATTAAAATGCTGCACATTTGATTTTGAGTAAAAGGATATCTGAAATTGAGAAATATACCATGGGAATTCAGGAGTCTTCTTGGCACCTTTGTCACTCTTTTTACTGTCTCATATAGGTAATGCTAACAATCAATTTCTCATCCCGGACCACTTCGATGGATCTCCAAAGAAACCTTGAAGCAAATGTGGAGAAAAGAACTAAAGAAACATATGGGCCTCCTATGGGAAAGAGGCTGTTGGTGTTTATGGATGATCTTAACATGCCAAGGGTAAGACCACATTGAGACAACTCTCCTGGGTTTCAAAATCCAGCCACACTAAATCGTAAACTACATGTTACAATATACTGTATCTAGGGCCCTCTGAAGATGTCTTCCTCCATCAAGTAATTAAAAGAACTCTTGATCCTTTGTTTCTGTTCTTGTACTGTAAATTGGTTTCTTGCAGGTTGATGAATATGGGACACAGCAGCCTATAGCCCTTCTCAAACTGCTTCTAGACAGAGGTGGCATGTATGATCGGGGTAAAGAGCTCAACTGCAAGATTCTCAAAGATCTTGGCTTTATTGCCGCGATGGGGAAAGCAGGTGGTGGAAGGAATGAAGTAGACCCCAGGTTTATTTCTCTGTTCAGTGTTTTCAATGTACCTTTCCCTGAAGAGGAGTCCCTTCATCTCATATATTCCTCCATTCTGAAAGGACACACTAAGGTAATGTCACCGTCTTGCTACCCTTTCCACTTTTGCAAAATGGACTCCTAAAGAAAATAGTAGTGCAAGATGTATTCTCTCTTTGCAGACATTTGAGGAGTGTATACAAGCTATTTGTGATAAGCTTACATTTTGTACATTGGAGCTCTACAAAACCATTATTAAAGATCTGCCTCCCACTCCATCAAAGTTCCATTACATTTTCAATCTGAGAGACCTTTCCAGGATCTACAACGGATTGACATTAACCCATCCAGAGAGGTGAGATTATCTGTTCTTCATCTAGAAGAAAAGATGTAACTAAGCAGGGAGAAGTCTTAATATATTTTAAATGCTGTTTTTGCAGATTTCTTACAGTCCCACAGTTCGTGAGAGTTTGGAGGAATGAATGCTTGCGTGTTTTTCATGACCGGCTTATTAATGAAACTGACAAAGTTCTGGTATGTCCATGCAAAGGTTTCTAATATTATATGTGATATTTTAATTTGAATATGGTGAAATTATGGGTAGCACAGTGGTGCAGTGGTTAGCATTGGTGCCTCAGAGCGGTAAGGTCCTGGGTTCAGTTTCAGACCTGGGATTCTGTATGTTCTCCATGTGTTCACTTGGGTTTCTTCTGGATGCTCCAGTTTCCTCCCGCAGTCCAAAAACTGGGATGTTAATTGGCTTCCAGGGAAATAAGTCCTGGTATGAGTGTCTGCTTCTAATGTCTGTGTGTCTGCTCTGTGATGGACTGGTGTCCCATCCAGGGTGTACCCTGCCCTGTACCCCTTGCTTGTCCACAACAACAAATTGGAAGAAGTGGTTAGAAAACGGATAGATGGATGTTGGAATTACTTTAGGATTACAGCTATTATTTGTAATTTCCTAAAAATACTATATTTCTTGTGTAGTAACAATGCTATCACTGTTCTAGATTTTCTTCTTTCTCTCCAAACATGTGGATTGGCATATGCAGAATACACTCTCACCAGGCAATGACTTAAGTGTACTAACACTTTGAAAACCCATATTTATAATTTCATCTATTCCGTTTTGAGGTCCAAGGCCATATCAAGAATTTAATTGAAGAACATTTTAAGGCTGATCTGGAGTCTGCAATCCGGGACCCTATCCTGTTTGGAGACTACCGGGCAGCGCTGAATGAAGCAGAGCCTCGGGTGTATGAAGATATCCAGGACTATGATGCCTCTAAAGCTTTATTCCAGGTAACCGTGTTTCTAATTAATGTACCCAACCCCATTTTTTCTTTCATAATTAGTTAATTTGGGAAGTGCATAATTTAAGATGTTTGTTGTTCTTCTTCGCAATGGTCATAGATCCTGTTACATTTATGTATTGTTTACTTTGCTAAGCATTTTATTGGAGTTTTTATTCTTGTCAAACAATTCAACAAGTATTATTGCCAGATTTCAAGGTACCTTTTTTGTACATGAAACTGATAAAAGTAATATAATAAAGTCACAAAGGAATATATCTGAAAGTATATTTTCTTATTCCTATTTTTCTGGTTTTTGGCTGCCATAGGAAATTTTGGAAGAATACAACGAGACAAGAGCCCGTATGAAATTGGTGCTGTTTGACGACGCTCTGGAGCATTTGACACGCATCCACAGGATCATCAGGATAAACCGTGGCCATGCACTGCTGGTGGGCGTGGGGGGATCGGGAAAGCAGTCCCTCACCAAACTGGCAGCCTTTGCAGCTGGATGCGAGGTGAGTGAGATTTCCAGTATAACATTGATCAGACTGTCTTGTCTAGCCATTTCCTAAACAGTGTCCGCTCATCAGGTTCAACAACATGCCCCAGCTAGCTTCTTTCAGACTCCCACAGCCCTTTGTGTAAAGAAGTATCTCATGTTCTTAGTTGTGAATACAGTACCCTTCCCTTTAGTTTGCTTCATATTGCCTTCATACAGCTCTTTCCAATTGCATTCTAAAAGAATGGAGAAGACATACATTGATCAAGTACAATAGCTGATACCTTGAGACAACATTCTGATTAACCCACAGGTTATACTCCCTGCTGTTTTAAATCTTTATGGGTGCAATATTTTATCATTGCACAACCTCTGGGGTTTTGAAAACTAAACTTCTCAGTGCTGAAGCAATTCTTTTTTATTCTGTTGTGACAGGAAATACAAATGTTTCAGTATATTAAGTATTAAGTATATTTGAATGTTTTTGCAACAGGTGTACGAGATCGTCCTGAGTCGGGGCTATTCAGAAAATAACTTCCGTGAGGATCTGAAGACTCTGTACCTGAAGCTAGGGATAGAGAATAAGAAAATGGTCTTCCTCTTTACTGACGCCCATGTGGCAGAAGAAGGTTTCTTGGAACTTATTAATAATATGTTGACATCAGGTGCTTATAATTTTTTTTATTTTGTTGTTAGAAATGTGTTTTATTTATTGATATATTATAGGGGTTGATTGCATGCTATTTTTTCTTTTTGTGGCATACTTTGGTGTAAGACAGAGTGCAAATCCAATTTATTGGTAAACAGAATTGGTTTTCTACATAAACATTCTTTGTATTTTTCTCATACGTTTTGAAAATGGAAAAAACGCAGTGTTCATTTGCAGAAACTCAAACCAGTTTGGAATGGTAGATCTGGGGCATGTTACTAAAACAATGTCTTTCCAGGCATGGTGCCAGCTCTGTTCCCAGATGATGAGAAGGAATCAGTGCTGGGACAGGTCAGGGATGAAGCCATGAAACATGGCGTGGGGCCTGCGAAGGAGAGTGTCTGGCAGTATTTTGTGAATAAGAGTGCTAACAACCTCCACATCGTTCTGGGCATGTCTCCTGTTGGAGACACTTTGAGGACACGATGCAGAAACTTCCCAGGCATGCTCATTTCCTCTCATTGTGCTTATGTGGTTGTTGAACCCTAATTAGATACCCTAATTAGAGCATACATATTAACTGAATGTTGTTACTCCTCTTAAAGGTCTGGTGAATAACACTGGGATTGACTGGTTCCTGCCGTGGCCTCCACAGGCACTGCATGCAGTTGCTCAATCATTCCTGGGTACGTCGCATGAGCTCCAGTGCCTTAAAGTACAGGTTAAGAGTAGGATGTTACCGCGATGCCAAATATAGAACATGTTGAAACCACAAAAATATTCATTAAGATTGAATCTTCTTTTCATGTTGAATTGTTAATGTTTTCTGTAGTGTAAGAATGTCAAACACAGTTGAGATACAGATTTACTGTAGAAGAGAATGTATCAAGTGGGGGGAATTTAATTGAAGGTATAATACACATTCCTGTAGAGTCACTGTATTAATTGAAATTCCTGATGACAGGTGAAAATCCAATGATCCCATCTCAGCACTCTGAAGCAGTTATTGGTCATGTGTGCATGGTGCATGGGTCTGTTGGGGAATTCAGTAAGAAGTTCTTGCAGAAACTGAGACGCAGCAATTACGTGACCCCGAAGAACTACCTGGACTTCATCAGCACGTATTCCAAACTTCTTGAAGAGAAAGATCAATATATACTGGGTAAATATTTAGACAAAATACGAACCATTTCTCATCACACCCACAGATCCCTGTGCTCTAGATGGCGTTGTTATCTGGCGTGTTGTTATTTTTGCACTCTCTGCTTCTTTCAGGACAGTGTAAACGCTTGGAAGGGGGTTTGGATAAACTGAAGGAGGCAAGTGTGCAACTAGCAGAGCTCAACACAAAGCTGGCTGAACAAAAAGTGGTGTTAGCTGAGAAATCTGCTGCCTGTGAGATACTGCTCCAGGAGATCTCCACCAACACGGCTGTTGGTAAGTGTGCATGATCAACATTATACTCCAAAGGCCATGGCTGAGGAAATTAACTATGACCATTCCCACAGCATATCTCGATGGCCCACATCATGTACACGTTCTGCCTTACAAACTGAAGCACAACTTCGTTATAAAATTCTAGGAACTTGTTTGGTTGCTATTAGGTAATTTATCTGAGGATCCCCATCAGCTGTTTCTTAGAAGAACCTGACGACAAACTGCAAACAGAATATACTGTTCATTACATTTATAGACAAAACGTTCATTCCCATCATCACAACACTTTCATATATACAGTATGTATGGTGAAAGGTTGTTTGTAGTATTTTATGAGAACAGCATCTCATGATTACATCTTGAATATATGAACGCCACATCTAACGCCCTCTTTTGTGTTCACTCTGGCTTTTTGGATAATGATGTCAGCCTCCACTGCAGGTGCTGATGCTTAATGTGTTAATAGTGAGATAAACCATTCTCTGACCTACAGCGGAGGAGAAGAAGAAGCTGGCAGAGGACAAGGCAGTGGAGATTGAGGAGCAGAACAAGGTGATCGCGGTGGAGAAGAAGGATGCAGAAAGCTCACTGGCTGAGGCTCTGCCCGCCCTCGAGGCAGCCAGGCTGGCACTGCAGGATCTGGACAAGTCTGACGTGACGGAGATCAGGTACAGTAGTCTAGGCTAGTCTACACACAGTAGCACTCTAAGACACCGTTATGGACATCTGATGCTAACACTTCAGCATCCCACAGACTTCTTTTCAAGAAAATAAATAGTGCCTTTATGTTTTCAATAGCTATCATTTTTAAAATGCTTTATATTTAATAGATGTGGTTCATTTTACTGTTTTTTTTAATTGAAATATCATTGTTTTGCATTGTTTTGAGATAATTTAAATGTACAGTGTACAAAGAAGGTGTAAATATTGACATACTGATAGGCATTTTTGAAAGAAAGAAGGTGTCTTTCAGTATGTGCAAAAACCTAATTCAATGCTAAATTGTTACCTGAGACCCATTCACATAGATTACATTTTTTGTTTTTATGCATCTTGTGAAGGAGAATGTAAGTATGAATGTATTTTTGTTTGTTTTATTTATATTTTCAAGGGTCCAGAAATGGTTCATTTGTGTTGCTGTGCTGTGATAGTCCGTTTCTTTCCTGTGTGCAGTACACTCTTGCCCACTTTAAAAATGGGAGAGGAAAAGAAACCGTCACTGCCCATAAGTCTTTAACACCTCCCTGGTCTATCTGAGAGCTTTACTGTAGGAATATTAAAAAAGATACCTGGCAGTTTTATGAATGTTACTTTGTCTTTTTGTTTTCTTGAATTGAAATTTTACAGATCATTTGCCAAACCACCAAAGCAGGTCCAGGTAGTGTGTGAGTGTATCTTGGTCATGAGGGGGTATAAAGAGATCAGCTGGAAGAGTGCTAAAGGAATGATGTCAGAGGCCAACTTCCTGCGATCCCTCATGGAGATGGACTGTGATGGCATCAGTGCTGGACAGGTCAAAGTTGTGAGAGGTACAGTAACATTATTAACATTAGAAATGCTAACCACAATTTCCCACAAAATAGATTATAAATGATATCATAGAGCTACAGTATCTGAATACAAATTAAGATCATAATTCATATGTGCTTCTCCTAGAGCATTTCCCAGTCCATTTGTCCATCAGCTTTATGAATTTGCACCTCAGGTGAAGATCAATTGTGACCTTGGTGGTTGAGCAGTTTCTCTACTATAACAAAAGTACAATTGTGGTATACACATAATATACCTGGCTCTAATGGAATATCTTAAACTCAGATTATTTTCTTTTAACTTTGTTTTCTCTACTATTAGAGAAGGTAGTCCCAAGAGTTGAGGACTGCATTCCATTGCTGGTGTCGAATTGTAAATCCTTCTGTAATGCTGATGTTTTGTTTTAGGCTTTTTAAAGAACTTAAACACAACCTTTGAAGAAATGCAAGCCATCAGCAAAGCAGGATCTGGAATGCTGAAGTTTGTGGAAGCTGTAATGGGATACTGCGATGTAGCCAAGGAAATTAAACCCAAAAGAGAAAAGGTAGAATTGGCTTGTTTGGTATTGTATTAATTACACAATATAAAAATGGATGGGCTGGTGCAGAGCTAATTCAGGAACAGGTAAAGGAACCTACCATATGCAGATATACAGGTATATTACCGGTAGCAAAATTGTAATTGATCCCACCTGGCTATAAAAGAAATGCCTAGCTCACTGTTTCAATCTGCAACAAATCTTCCTTTGGACTATCTGTATTTTTATTTTGCAGGGCTATAAAAAGTACAAATCTTGGATAAAAGCACTTATTAAAATAATTTCACAACTAAATCACATTGCTAGATGCAACAATAGATCAGTAAATCACCAAGGAGAAAGCTTTGATTCACAGATGGACCACATGTGCTGAATTCGGTGTGTGAAGATTCTCAAGTCTCGAATGTTTTGCGATCGTTGATTCTCCTGCTGTACTCCTAGGTGGCCAGGTTGGAAAAGAACTTTTTCCAGAGCAAGAGGGAGCTAGAGCGTATCCAGAACGAGCTGGGGGCCATCCAGAGGGAGCTGAAGGCCCTGGGGGATAAGTACGAGGAGGCCATGTGGGAGAAGCAGCAGCTGCAGGCGGAGGCAGAGGTCATGGAGAGGCGGCTCATCGCCGCAGACAAGCTCATCTCAGGACTGGGATCTGAGAATGTCCGGTAAGCAGCATGGAGGGCTCATCACAGTGCTGTAGCACGCAGTTTTGTCTATGATTTAAAGGTGACTCTGAGGGCTTTTGAGTAACATTTGAAAACAGCTCAGAACAGATCTAGAAGACCTCATGTATTTAAAACTCAGTTGAAAGAAGATTTAACACTGCGGTGGATTTCCTTATAAAAAAAATAGATATAGTCGGCATAAAACCTAACTATACCATACCTGCTCCCCGTGCTGTGTGTTCTCAGGTGGACCAATGACCTGGAAGAGCTGAAGCAGAAGAGGGTCCGCCTGCTGGGGGACTGCCTGATCTGCGCCGCCTTCCTCAGTTATGAGGGGGCCTTCAGCTGGGACTTCCGCAAAGAGATGGTGTACGAGAAGTGGCAGCAGGATGTGCTGCAGAGGGGCATCCCCGTCAGCCAGCCCTTTCGCGTCGAGAGCCTGCTGACCGACGAGGTGGAGATCAGCAGGTGTGTGTTCCGCGGGGCAGTGGCACTCGCATGCTGACACTCTTCCCCCAGCACCGCAAAGCCGGGAAATCGGGAAGGCAGGCACCCCTGAGCATCGCCGGTAATGAAGCTGGCAACTTCTTAGATGCAGCCATCATTGTCAAATGTAACTTATGGGAGAATTTTCTAAACTTTCCAATGGGAATTCCAGTAGCCTCCAATTTACCGTGAAACTAATTGGCCTCATAACAGTATCCTGGAGGGAGCTTTGTGTCCTGTATTTCAACAGTGATGATATTATGGAATGCTGTTTCTTTAGAAAATCCTCTACTTTTTATTGGTGTATGAAAAAAAGAAAAAACATTATATAACTTGGGCAGTTACATTTGCTAGTCATCTTTATTTTTTAGGAAAAAAAACATACATTTAATTCTTAAGCTTTAAAATCAACGCCAATCTGTCAGTGAGTTCTCATAGAGTTGATATCTTTCTACACTAGATGGCAGAATTTGCCTTTTTTTTACATCTTGATTCATACAACTCAACTCAGTTGTATGAACTCTGAGAGAATCTAAAAAAACATTACTGGTCAAAGACCGTAGCCTTCCCTATAGCTGCAAAGGAACAAGTAAAGCTTTATTCCATGCTGAAAAGAGAAGAAACACAACTTTTCGGCTGTGGAGCCTTCTTCTCTGTAGCTACTGTCTGCAATCCTTGTTTATTCCTACTACTAACCATCCATCCTTTATCTAACCGATCTTCCAGTTGAGGTACATGGGGGAGCCAGAGGCTGTCCCCGCAAGCAACAGGTGTAAGACAGGGTCCACCCTGGATGGGGACGCCAGTCCATCGCAGGGCTGACTCACAGACACGTGCATGCTCACACCTCGACGCCAATTAACTGACCAGTATATCTTCGAACCCTGGGAGGAAAGCAGAGCACGCGACTAAAATCCACAGGAACATGGGGTGAACATCTAAACTCCACACAGATAGCACCCCAGGTCCAAAGTTGATCCCAAGGCCTAACCTCTGCGAAGTTGTTCCCATGCTAACCCCCTGTGCCACCTTGCTACCCTACTAAGCATGCATGCATTACTTTAAATGCGTTGTGCTGTTGTGTAGGTGGGGCTCTGAAGGCTTGCCGCCAGACGAGCTGTCGGTTCAGAACGGCATCCTGACCACACGGGCCAGCCGCTTTCCCATGTGTATTGACCCCCAGCAGCAAGCCCTGAACTGGATCAAGAAGAAGGAAGGGCGCAACAATCTCAAGGTACAAAACAAATCCAAATGCCAGTTTTTAAGAAGGTACATCGACTGTATGGCCTTAAGAAATATTTCCAAATCAAGTGTGCTGTGACTGTATATTCCCTTTCATTCTGATTTGTCTTTTTTGTGTTTTTAATTTTATCCCCACTCAATGTAGAACTGCCAGTTGCTTCTTTGCAGCTGTGCTCTTGTGCTGCAGAGCCATTGGTCCTTTAATACTGGTCACATTACCAGGTACTTGGCACCTTCCACGGGAGAATTTGCACGATTCGGAGGAGTGGTGCATTTCTCACTGTCACGTAAGCCTGCTGGTGCCCAGGAAGGGAGTTGCTGGAGAACTGGGTGAGCCTGGGTTAAGTAATGCCAACCCTACCCCATGATGGAGTTCTGCCAGTTGTGCAATGCCCTTGGGGAATTATGGTCACAGCCAGTGAGTGCTATAAGTCGTGCAGTAGTTTTTTTCTTGTGAACATATGTTCAGGAAAGAGCAAGAAGAAGAATAAACAGTTATAAACATAAATCTCATACAGAAATTAGAATGTATTCCTCTTGATAGGAGGAAGCACCTGCCTGTGTTGTCAAGATTTTTGCGCTAGCAAAATGTCATTTAGCTGTATGTCCTTCTGTAAAAGCACTTTTAGTGACTGAATTTCACCAAGTGCAATCTAATTGTATCTCATTCTTCACCCTATCTTGTAAGATAGATTTTTATATTATTGTCAGGTCCACCAGCAAATGCTGTAATACCTGAAGATTATAAATAATTTAATATTCCTCACTAAGAGGCACTTTGTGCAAGTTTGTCAGTATTGCATTCTGTAGTGTTCTATAAATCCTTATAAGATTGGTTTTATTTCATTCATATAATCATGTTTTTAATCAATATACATTGAATTTCATAGCATGTGTTCAAAAGATTCTCCTGAGAAGTTTTGAATATCACTATTTTGTTCCAGATTTCCTCTTTCAATGATCCAGATTTCCTCAAGCAGCTAGAAATGGCAATCAAGTATGGCTTCCCCTTCCTGTTCCAAGACGTTGATGAGTACATCGATCCCGTGATCGACAATGTCCTCGAGAAGAACATTAAAGGAGCTCAGGGTCGGCAGATCATTGTGCTTGGTGATAAGGAAGTGGACTACGACCCAAACTTTAAACTCTACTTGAACACCAAACTGGCCAACCCAAAATATTCCCCTTCAGTGTTTGGAAAGGCAATGGTCATTAACTACACAGGTATTAAAAAATAATCTAGCATCACAAGATACTGTAGCACTCAAACCTGGAATTTGATTGTGTTGAGTACAATACCATTAAGGAGTCTTAGCATGTGTCTTGAGTTAGTACATCAGTGTGATCTTAATATTAGATTGCATAAAGTTTAATTTTATCATGCTATTCTTAAGGAGATTGTAATAAAGCAGTTTTAAATTTAGTCAACCTGGACTCAGATATTGTACTCTGTAATTCATGTACTGTTGAATTACATAAAAAGCATGCAAGTGAGCATGAAGGTCCTGAGTAGTCAGTCTGTAGGATGGTCTCCAGCTCCCCAAATAAGGCTGGTATGTTGTGAATGGACCTCTCCTGTTCTGTGCGCAGTGACTCTGAAGGGCCTGGAGGACCAGCTGCTCAGCGTGATTGTGGGCTTCGAGAGGAAGGAGCTGGAGGAGCAGCGTGCTCGTCTGATTCAGGAGACGAGCGAGAACAAGAAGCTGCTGAAGGACCTGGAGGACTCGCTGCTGCGGGAGCTGGCCACCTCCACTGGGAACATGCTGGACAACGTGGAGCTGGTCCAGACCCTGGAGGAGACCAAGTCCAAGGCCACCGAAGTGAGTCCTGCACCGGCCGAACCAACACCACAACACCACATCGCCGAATTCTCATTCCACCCACTGGCACTCTGGGAATCCTACCATTAATTTGGCAGGCTGCTAATATTCAGTGTGATGTACAAGGGTTATGATTACCTGTTTGTTTTACAAGTTAATTTTAGCTCCATTTTATATTGCTGGGTTTGTTGGAGAAATCTGAGTGAGTAAATCCTCCTGTCAGGATGCCAGAACTGGCCATAAAATCAATTCTCACATACTGTAGATCGTCTCAAGTGGAGACAGTTTTAGAATATATTTACTCTTTGAGAAATATGGTGATTTTAACAGCTAATTCTGCAATCATTCATTTCTTTTTTATCTCCTTCAGTCCTTTGCTTGGAGTTTCTAGCAAACTTATAATGTAAATTCAGGGAATGAAGGTCTTATTATTAAGTTTGTTAAATGTATTTGTGCAGTGAAACCAGTTCAAACAGATTTTTTTGGGTTTTCATTAAGAGAGAGTAATGGTGTTTTTTTGATTGATGCAGGCAATAAAAGTCAGTTTTCCCATGCCTAATGGCACTGAGTTTGTTCCTGTGTTTTGCTGTTCGAAGGTGTCGGAGAAACTGAAACTGGCAGAGAAGACAGCAGTTGACATTGACAAACTACGTGATGGTTACAGGCCTGCTGCCAAGAGAGGTGCCATTTTATTCTTCGTGCTGGCTGAGATGGCGCTGGTGAACACCATGTACCAGTACTCCCTGGCTTCTTACCTGGACGTTTTTGATTTTTCCTTGCGGAAGTCACTGCCAGACTCCATCCTGGTCAAGAGACTGAAGAACATCATGGACACACTCACTCACAACGTCTATAACTATGGCTGCACTGGTTAGTGTCAGGGTCAGTCTAAGAGAAAACTATTTACGGTGCGAGCTCATTGCTCAGTTATTTTGAAAGTATACTCTTCAGTCCTGCAGCATATTCTTGCTTCTTGTTGCAAGTAGTGGTAAACATAAATTACAAATCAAGCTTTAAAAAATATTATGATTGTTTTCTAGATCACAAATGGGAAAACAAAAATATAGATATCTGTATTTTAACAATGAATTAATATTAATATAGTATGAAGTAATATTAATAACTACTAATATTTGTATTATTTTATGATTGGTCCTTGCATGTCAATGTTATTAGGAATCCATCATTAGTCTGTTTGGTAATAAATGGAGTTACTATTCTACTAGAAAGCTACATTGATAATATTTTGCAATATTTTTTGTTCACAGGCTTGTTTGAGAAGCACAAACTGCTCTTCTCATTTAACATGACCATTAAAATAGAGCAGGCAGAGGCAAGAGCACCACAGGAAGAGCTGGATTTCTTCCTCAAGGGTAGGGCTGTCCACGCTCCCATCACCATACTTACAGCTGCTTCTGTTTCACTTAATGTGGACGTGATCTGCCTATACACTTGCATGTGATAGTAATTATATTGCAGGATATTTTATAAGAATTGACTTTTGGTGTCTAGGATGAGAATTTTATGGATAACACAAGACATGAAATATCTACATACAGTATAAAACTCAGACTAATGTGATAATTACACTCAAAATAATTAGCAGATTATATTTAACCACATTTTATTACATTTTTAAAACGCAACAAAAAACAAATTACTATAGGTATATGAAAAATATGCAGAGAAGGAAACTCACAAAAGTGAACAGATAGGGGCAGGGCAGAGGGTATATAGTAGAGAGCAATAGTATATTTGATATAAACTGAATATATCAAAGTCTGCAAATGAATGCAAGTGTTTTTTTAAGGTTATTGTGGTCTTGCAAGGCCTGCAGACCAAAGACATCATGCCTGAAGGCTGATCATAGCTAGGAAATCGTCAACAAAAGCATTATTCAGATCTGGAACGTGTTGGTGCATTAGTAGCAGATTTGGCCCGTGGGGTCTCAAATGCATTTACACAGGCTGAAGTGGTGGCCTTCTCAGACAGAATTCGCAGTCCTCCTGGGACACATAAACACATTGGTACCAAACCTAACAGGCTGCTAATGTGCTACCAAATGCTCCGAAAAACACAAAAACCACAGGAGAAAAATATGCATTTAGAGGAAGGTTACTTTTATTCCTATCTGCAGCAACTTAGTATGAGGATTTTAGGGAAAGGGGGAAACGGTTTTCTGTTTTTATTCAAAACTGCTGTTCTTTTTAAAGACACCAGTGATTTTCTCCCTTAGGGTTCATTTATAGAACTGAATCTAAAATAGGAAGATTTTTTTTATTGTTTTCTTCAAAGAGGCTTATAAAAAGCCTTAAAATAGACACAGCTGCCAAGATTTCAGCTGTGGCAATGCAGTGCTTGTATAGAGAGATCAATAGTGCATTTTTACATTATTTCCAGATTCAAACAAATGCATCCTTTATCACTATGCAGGGTAGATTGCTTTACAATATAGTTTAATGCTAAATTATAATTGCTTTAACTGCCAAAGGCTGTTTAACGTTCATGTCAGCTGTTTTACTCACAGAGAGACATTTTAAAAGTTAAACAAACAAACATGGATCAGCCACAAAAATCAGGGCTTAAAAGGTGTGGCAGGAAATTGCAAGTGCAAGCCAGAAATGGCCCTGTTAAAGCAGACAGGGTCAATGAACCTCACTTTCTAAATTGTTCTGCTTCTGGTAAGAACAATAAGAAAGTGATCTGTTGGCTATTTCTGCTGGATTGTTTTATATTTTAATTGCTTGAGAAATGTAGTTTTTTCCAGAGTTTGTTTTTAAAATCTCAGTTATATTACATGGTTATTATATGAGAGACAGTCACACACTGGGTTTAAAGAAGCCTGACGTTCTCCAGGCAGGAAGGGTGCTGTTATATAAAGATTCCCCCACTGTTGTCTGCACATTCCAGGCACAGTTTATGCACTGGGTCAGCAATACCGGCTCCTGCTGCTGAAGCAGCTGTGGGAGGCTGTGTACTGTATGTTGCACAGGGCAGCCTGGGACTGTATTCCTTGTTGCATTGGCATCTCCACGCCCTCATTACAAAGCTACTGAAGCTCCCCTGCATGTGCATTGCCAACGGGATGTATCCTCTCACATTCCAGCCCCCAAGGCTGTCCACACAGGTGTAGGTCACTGTTCTTCCACACGGAGGCAGCACTGCAAGCGTGACCAGCTCCTCTGAAGTGGGCCTGGATAAACATTTGTATTTACTTTAAAGCACCGAGAAGCAAAAGGCATCATTTAAATGTCGTCTGGAATTTGGGTTACTGCATGGTTCTTAAATGTTTTATTAAAGTTAAAAATTTGGATATTAAAAACAACAAGTTGGTTTGTGATTGCCTCTTAAAAATGCTCAGTCAAAATATGGCATTTTCCCCCTGACCCGTCAGTGTGGTTTATCAATGATGAGCGGGTTTCTTCTCTTCCTCTGGAGATTGCTCACTGTTCACAGATTGACTACACAGTTAGCAATGATCCCAGCCTTTCAATAAAAAAAACTCTCCAATCACTATGAACAGCTTGTCCTGAGTGCTGCTCAGCTATGTTGCTGCAGTGTTCTGCATTGCTCAGCAGGCAGCATTTTTTTAAATGACAAGTGTTCTGATATCTTGTACATGTCTATAGTTGCAATCACAGTAGCTCTAAGCCTAAGATCAAATGGTAAATAGTGCTAATAGCTATATTGTACACGTTATCTTTCAGTGGTTTGACAGGATTTTGTCATGCCAATAATTTTACAGAAAATATTGTAATTCAACTCCATTATCATCAACAGCTTTTAATGTTACAGCATTTGAGTTCGAACAGCATTGTATTTATTCACAGAAATACATATTTTACTGCACATTGCATGTTTGTACACTCTACAATGTATCAACCATTAATTCTCATTCAAAATCAACCTGTGTTTCTAATATGATATGAAACGGACTGAGACGTTTAGGCCAATTAGCGGTGTCGTATAAAAACTTTGTGGCAGAGGTAAACATCCATTACATTA